ATAATTTAGTGTGGTCTCAAAAAGATTAAAAATGACTATCAGACTAGTTAATTTCACTTGTCTAAATGTTCTTATATTACTATTGCATGACTGTAATTGAAAAGGAGTGGCCAAACACCTAAGAATGCCATTTTAAAGTTGTCTCTGAAATATCAAATCCTTTCTATAGCCAACTAAATGCTCTTTGTCATAATTTATTTAGGTAATTATATCACATACCTTCTCTTATCTTTCTGTTCTTCCATTAACCAACTCCTTGACCTGTATTTTCATGGGTGTAGGGAATTCCCAGTGTGGAAGGCCAGTGCTCTGTCTTCTGTACCATGTTTTCTCTCTTCAGTAATAACTGTGAATTCCACATGGCAGGCATTGGGTAGATAAGTATTACTGCATCAGACCTTTTCCCCTGTATTGTTATACCTCACAAAAACAAATCTAGCACTGTCCCATAGTTTACCCCAAAAAGGTCAATTGGATCTTGTTATTATAGAACTTTAGAGCTAGAAGGGACCTTACAAATTTTTCAAGTCATAGCTCATTGGAGTTAAAAAGAACACAGTCATTCTTCTCATTTTGCAGGCAGCTAGGTGATGCCATAGTGCACAGAGTGCTGGCCCTGGAGTTAGGAAGACTCATCTTCCTGAGTTCAAATATGATGACCTCAGACACTTACTAGCTATGTGACTCTGAGTAAGTCACTTAACCCTGTTTGCCTCAGTTTCCTAACCCTCTTTGCCTCACTTTTTTTATCTGTAAAATGAGTTAGAGAAGGAAATGGCAAACCACTCCAGTATCTTTGTCAAGAAAACCACAAAAGGGGTCACAAAGAGTCAGATATGACTGAAATGACTCAACAACAACAAATTGTGTGCTCGGCATCGTGCTAAGTGATGAACATGCAAAAATGACAGCCCTTTTCTTCAAGGAACTCACAATCAATAATATATGAAGAAATTGAGGTCCAAAGGTCATAGTCAACTAACCTTTATTAAGTTCCTACTATATACTAAATGCTAAGTGCAGGGGAACTAAGAAAAGCAAAATACATTCCCACAATCTTAAAAGGGTGACAGCATGGAAAAAAAACTGTGTAAAGACAAAGACATATAATGGAAAAATGGAGATATTCCACAGAGAGAAGGTACTAGCAATCAGTTAACTTTCCCACAGTTATGCTGTTGTTCACAATACTGAGTCATAAGATCAGATCTTATTTTACAGATGAAAAAACTGAGAATCAGGAAGGTTAAATAACTTGCTCATGGCTACCCAGTTAGTAAGTATCACTGGTATTGGAACCTTAGTCCTCTGATTTCCATTTCTGCTGCACTATATTGGACACATACTTTGTTATACAATAACAATATGAAACAATAGCTGTTTACCTTACAGACAAACTTATTTTTTCCATTTAAAAAGAAGCTGATTTCTTTTTTATTCTAGTTTCTCATAAGTATTTTCTCCTTTTGTACTTTTTGGTTTCAACAAAAATGTAAATCAGAATTCGGTCTGTTTAGGGGTAGTTTTTGGCAAGGTTGTGAATTTGGCTAGGTACCCTCATAGCTAAATAACATTTCAGATAGCACTGTTTAAATTTGGGGCTACCTTAAGATAATATTAAAATTCAATGGCCTTTATACTCAATGATGATTGCATCTTCTGTGGAACATATGTAAAATTTTAAGTATTCATATTAGTATATAGTAAGAAATTTACACGTACAACATTATACACATATGCTTAAATGTCATGGCATTATTATAATAATACAGAATCAAATTTACTGTATGGATGAATATGCTATTATTATAAAGATGATTACATATACCTACTGTAATTACTCTAAGGTTTTTGGGTGTATTTTTCCTCCAGAAGTAATAAATTAACATTAATTCATCTTTGGTTTATTTCCTAATCCCTTTTGTAATGAACTTCAGTACTTGCATGACAACTGGTGCCAGTTAGGGATGAAATCTACAGTTAGAACACTGCTTACTGGCCAAAAAAATAAATAAATAAAATCCATGATTTTGGTCTTTTTAGCGATCTTTCAATCTGTTTTACAGAATACTTTTGTATTTTGCAAGTAGAATTGGACTTAAGGTGTTTTTATGAAATTACTGATTTTTTAAAGTGTTTTAAATAGTAAATAGTCTTCCTAAATCTAGTTTTTGTCTACATTATTCTCCAAATTGTATTATCCTACTCAATCTTAGCAGTGCATTGTTCCCAAGTAGAATCAAAGAGTGCACTAGAAAACAATATAAATAATGACCCTCATAAACAGAAAATGTATTACATTTTGTCTTTACCATAACTTAGATGTCATGATGGCAGCTCAAATTCAGTATAGCCCAAAGTGAACCCATCAATAACTCCTCCAAACTTTCTCTTCCTCTGAATTATCCTATTTCTGTTGATGATGCCACCATCCTCTTAGTCACTCTGGTTAAAAACTTCAGTCATCATTGGTTCTTCTCTCTCCCTCCTGTCACCCTCACATGCTACCAGTTGCCAAGTTCTGTTGATTCTGTCTCTGAAATCTTTTATCTGTGTCCTTCCCTCTGTTTACATGGTGATTGCTCTAGTTCAGGTGTCTTCATCTCTCCTTAGGGCTATTGTAATAACCTTCTTCCTGATCTCCTTGCTACCAGACTCTCCCCTCCACAATCAGTCAAACAACCAACAGGCATTTATTAAGTGCATGTTAAGTACCAGGCGCTATACAGAGTGCTAAGGATGAAAAAAAAAAGTGAGGCACTCCCTGTCCTCAAAGAATTTAATTTATAAATTCACATACTATGACAAATGAAATATTTAAATACAGTCTATATCTAGACTAAAAACAAATACTTTAGTACAGAGAAGAGCTTAACATAGCACATAGAAATGAATTTCTACCATCTCTTTTTCTGACCAATACTCATCACTTTACATTATATACAAAAAGTCGAATTGCCAGAATTCTGAAACTACTAGGAAACAGTCAAATACATGTTTAAAGTTGGAATGGAAACTATGTTCTATTTTAAGACAAATTTTCATAACTTTTTGAAATGATACCTTGTATTTTTGTGAGTTTTTTCCAGGGGTCTTGTTGCTCTATGTGTTTTAAGGATTGATAATGCATTAAGATTCATTTTCAAATTTATTCTTTTATAAGATCTGAGATTTGATGACTAAGATTCATTTCTTTCATATTCAGGGTCATTGCACTTGTTTAAGTTCTAGACACTAGTAACATGCCTTATTTTGTGTAGGGACAAGGGAAAAGGTAGGAGTAAGAGGAGGGAATGGGGTAGAAATGTATTTTAAGTTCCATTTAACAGTATTGTAAATTCAAGCTTTCCTGTGTTTATTTTAGGGTGTTTTCCCCCTACATCTGTTGTAGTATGCTCATGCTTCTTCATTTATACTCCCTATCTTAATGAAAAGTAACTCCATAAATTCTTGTCAAAAGAATAATTAAAATTCACTCCCACTAAGCACTCTGATTTTAAAATACAGACCAAGGGTATCTGGAGAAAGTAGAAGCAACCTTCATGCAACTCTGGTAATAATAATTATGCACCTTTATATGGTGCCTCAGGGTTGAAAAAGCATATTTCTCAATGAACTTTGGGGGCTCCAAGGTGAAGGTAAAATGTTCTGTTACGAAGGTGTCACCGATCTATGCTTCACATAGCTTCCAACCCAAACAATACACAGATAGGAACACATCAACAGCTTGGTCAGAGGCTTTCTGTGACTTGTGATCGTTGATAGGATCAAACACAAACTTCTCAGCCTGACCTTTGAGAACATGCGTTAACCCATCTTTCCAACCTTATTTCCTTTCACTGTCTTTCATGTACTCTGTGTTCCAGCCAAACCCAATCACCTTTTTGTTCCCTGAGCTCACCATGTTGCCCCTGCCTTCATACATTTATGTGAGCTGTCCCCTTGTGCCTGTAAAGTATGCAGCCTACATCTCAAGCTTTAAGAGTACTTCTCTTTCTTCTGGGCTCAAGTCAGGTCCCAGGTCCTTTATGAAGCTCTCCCTTTTATTCACCACCCCATAAAAAACAATCTCCCAAACTGGAAGAGTTCTCTTTTTCTGCTCAGATTTTCCTGACATACTTTGTATCTTTCATTCGCCTTTTTCACACCCTACCTTTTATTGTGCATCTTTGGACATGTTTCATATATCCCCTTTCTGAAATAGAGTGTGAACTCCTTGATGGCAGGGAGTGCTTTTTAAAATCCTTGCTTAACAGTATCTGATATGTAGGAAATAGAGATTAGACCTGTGATTTTATTGGGATAGGGCATCCCTAGGTGAGCAACTAGTTCTACCAATATTAGTCAACTTCTGGTCTTAGAGAGTTGCCTAAAGCAGCATATATGATTTGGCCAAGGTCACAAAGCTAGTGTGTATCAAAGTTATAACTCGAGCCCAAGTCTTCCTGGCTTTTAAGGCCAACCATCTGTTATCCAGCTTCCAACTTAAGTAATAGACTTGTACATAGAAGGTACTTGTTAATAAATGCAAAGTGAGTGCAATGAGAAGTTAAAACAAACCAAAAAAAGAATTTTATTATACTTCCCAAAATTTTCTTTCTTAATCTCACCACCTTGACAATTAACTCATTGCTGCTACAACTTTTTGTTAATATTCCTCAGCCTTTCTTTAAAATGGACTATTGACAAAATAGTTTATTACTATATTCTCATATATGTGTGTTTGTATGTACCTGTCTGATCCAGGCTTTGTGATTTTTTAAAAAGTATGAAAATTTGTTTTGTAATATCAAAAAGTTTGAAATTTCCTGTTCCAATCATTTGACCTATATAATCCCAGACTAAATTACTAAATGACTTATAAAGTACCTTTGGAATGAGGACGTAGAAGTATTAGTTGCTGGCCCTAAATGTCCCTTTTTACAGTCTAGTTTCATTGATCTTTGGTTTTGTACCTTCATTGTAATGACAGAGGCTTTTTTTCCCTTTATTCTTTTCAGAGCGCTGCAGCAGCTCCCAGCCCAGTGCTAGGAAACATTCCCCCAGGAGATGGCATGCCAGTAGGTCCTGTACCACCAGGGTTCTTTCAGGTACACAAACAAACTGTGACTGCAGGAATGTTAAGGTGGAGAAACTCTTATGTGATTTTGTTGAGGCTATGCAGGAAGATAAGTGTATTTTAAATCTTATGGTGTACATGTTCTATGCGAGTTCTTGGTTAATCACAAATCCTGATCCAGTTTATAAATTATCTTTTCTTCATGTCTTCTTCACAATTTGCTTGTCTTTTGACCGTCTTGCCCCCTAAGTGAAAGGGAAAGAAGGGCCACAATTTCGGTCTTAGTGTTTGGTAAAGGTTTGGTGGGAGAGGTTGCTAAAACTAAATTTTGGAGTAATATTGGATTTTATCTAGCCATACTCTCCCCTTCTTCCCAAGGCAGAGAAAACCCAAATTTCACTGTATTTATAAAGTATGGCCAAGTTATGATCTGTCCAGCTATACCACAAGGAGCTTTAGGCCACATCTTTGACAAGTGGCTCTGGCTTGTCAACTAGAATGTTAAAAGAAGTATGTTAAGTTAACATTTTAAAATATACATTGCATGTTGTATTTTTAAATTATCAGTGTCATTCATTACCACAATGATTGCAAAATATTTGTGTAATTGGGGCTCCTTAGGGTTTTTTTAATTTCACAGAATGCATTTCTAACTTCTGCCCACTTTCTCTCCCAAATCCTATCTCCGCCCCCATATACACATGCTATCTAGCATATGATTATTTTCCAAATAAAATTGATTTTGTGATCTTGGAAAAAATTGGAGAATCCTTGTATTTTAACAAATATGGGTTATTATTATGCACTGCATTAGCAGAATTAATAAAGTATGTTACATATTATTTACAGTGAGTTACATTATGAGTATAAAAATGTTTGGCTGTTATTGTAGTGCTTTGTATTTTCAAAATCTTTAATAATCATTAGATAATCCATACTCACATCATTGCAGAATAATAGATCAATGCCTTAATAAATTTGAAATTACTGAAATAGAGGCAAGTTTCTATTACTGTTTTGTCTGGACTAGTGATTCCTTTGGTGTGATTAACTCGCTTTGAGGAAACTTCCTCTACCCAATGCAAAACAGCCTCGGTTCTGCACCTTGGAATTTTAAGAGGGTTGTCTGGGTGCATGTAGAGCTTAAGTGACATTCACTCACACTTAAACCTAGATCTTTTTTACTTCAAAGCTTTTCCTTTCTGTTCACAACTCCAGTGCTGCCTCCCAACATATAGCAATTGAATAAAAGAACCACAATTAGAACTCGAAACTAATGATGACGTGTGAATAAATCTATGAAGTTATATTCATTTACCCAAATTATATGTGATCGTAAGAAATACTATTTGCTAACACACGAGTGAATTAATAGACCCACATGTATACCACTGTTCCCACTGATCAGTTCAGTATGGCTTTTTTTGTTGTTGTTGTTGTTGTTGTTGTTTTTGTTTTGTTTTGTTTTGTACTGTTTATGGTATCCCAGAGACAGCAGCATATCCATGATTCTGAACAATATATTATCTGTAGCGAGGAACTTACATTATTCACTGCCTGTCTTCTGTAATTCATAGTTCATTGTATGTTTTCACTCCTTTTTATTTTTACCCCATGTTCTCAACCTTTTTGCCATATAGTAGCTATTTTAAGCCATAATTCTTTAAAAAGAAGTGATTCCTCAGGATGGTTTGCTGTAGGAGGCATGCCAGAAGCCTTTATCAAATTGAGCAAGAAATAAAGATATCCCTTGCTGGGGTGGGGCTTGAGGAGAAGTTTACATGGTATTCCTCCCCCCTCTCCATTCTGCATTTTATAAGAAGAGATACATAACTATAATTTCAGTTTCTGTATTTTCTGTGATAGAGGGAACAAAATGTTCTCCCTTGGCCTTTTCCAAGGTTCCTCACTCATGCTCTAAGGACTTGGTAAGAGCAATTGATGCAGCATAAACTGTGCTTAAATTCTATTTACTGAAAGTAAATGGAAGAGTCAACTTTCTAGAAGACTATTCATATAATTCCTGCTAGTAAAACAAAGGACTTGAGCTATGCACCTGCCTCAGTCATTCTATTACTTCATGTAATACATATGAAGGGCAACTGGAGAAGAACCTTTCCCATGGTGAAGGACATCAGTGAACATATGGAGTGCTGGCAGATAATAGAAGGCAGTTGTTAATAAAAATTAATATACAAGAGCTATACTTGTAGAATACATAAATATTAGGAAAGTATATTTTCAAATGCATAAATATAAGATGGCCAGTCATTAGAAAATATTAAGCAATAGATTTGAATTTTTAATTCACTTAGCTAATAGAATGAAAAAAAGTATGCAAAAACATAGATCATAATATTTGCTTCGTTCTTTAGAGCATGGATTTATCTATGCTAAGCTATTATAGAGTCAGCAAATTACATTGGTTTGAAATCCCACGATCTAGAAAATTCATATTTGAGCTTAACATATCCATCTCTAACAGTCCTTTTAGAGGGTAATGAATAGGCCCCACCAAGAGAATGCCAACTTTTACTTTTACTCAAGTTGTAGTTATGGGATCATGATAGACAGGGCCTTAGAGATATTTTAATTCAGTCCTCTCCTTTTATTTTTATGGAATTCAAGATGAATTATTTTTATATGTAGCTGAATGATAATATATTTTCTTGCTACAGCCAACTTCTCTTAATTCACACTGTCTTGGGGAAATACTTGTTTGAAATAGTGAAAATCAGAATTACAGAATATTTTCAAAGACTTGCAAAGAAATTTTCACTGAAATACCTCATATTTTGAGATATACTCAGGAACAGAAATGAAGCTAATGGAGTGTTGCCTACTAGAGTCTAATGTGTACAGGAGAATGATTGCCTAGTTAACATATCAAAGTGCCAACCATAGTAGTTCTAATCTTTGCTTAAAATGGAATGATATTGTATGTGGATAAATTTTAATAATGTGCTTAAAAACAATTATCTTAAATAGATAAATCTTTCCCTCCTAATCATGTTTTCATTTTTATTTGCATAATAAGCCCCCTTTTCCATGTTTTAAGTATAAACTTCAACTGACTCCCTAATAGAATTATCCCAAATACTGAATTTGTGAAGTCTTAATTAATGGGAATTTGTACCAACAAAACAATTTTTTTTTTGGCAAGGGCTTCACTTGAAAAATAGGAATGTATGTAAATGGTCAAACTAAAAAAAAAATGGCAAATTCTATGTGCTTTTAGTCAGCTCATCTTAGTATATTTTCTTTAGGGTCATAACTTTACATTTGGTCAAATATTAACATTATTCATTCTGAAGGATATTAGAATTTTATTGAAAAAGGAGTTTGCTTCTGAAGAGCATATCATTGAAATAAAATCAGCAAATAATTGAAATTTTAAAACTACAAAAGAATTGGAGGTACAAAGGGAGATTTGTTTGATAGAATATAAACCATCCATATAAAAATGTAAAGAATCAAACTTTCTAGCAAATCCAGAAATATTCTTAAGTGAAATAAATTGTGACATTGATGAAAGACCTAGAGCAGTGAATCTCAACTTTTTGGAGTAACAACCTACTCCTTTATGACAGCATCACCTTCTTCAAATTGCCATATTTAAAAAAATCATTTTTGAGAATAAAATACATTGAGCTAATTGGAAATGTTATAGGTTATTACAAAAACAGTTTGGGAATCACTTGTCTAGAGTAGTGTTTTTTACATTGAGAAGTAAGAGAGAAGTTCCAAGTTCTTTTCCATTCAACTCACCACTGGGGTGGCGGGAGTGTAATAGACTCAGTACTTTGAGTCACACTGGAGCCTTTCAGTCATGGCTGGAAAAGCTTGTGTTTGCCTGGCTTCTTGCTTTCTCCTTTTGGCCTTTGCAGAGTGGCTGGAAAAGACTGGCCAATGACAAATCTGAAGTATTCTACCTAAAGTTTAATTGGATGATAATAAATCTAAATTAAATGCTGAATTGTAACATTTTGTTACTTATTAATGGCATTCATTTGAAAAGGCTGTCCCACAACTATAGTTTAGGAGGTTTAAGCATCCTAGTCAGTAACTATTAGCCTGTTCTTGTTTCCTGTTGCCCTGCTGAAATAAAGTAGCTGGGTTCCAGACTGATTACCTTTTCCTTAAACTTAAATATATTGTGGCCATGGCTTAATAAAATAGAAGAAAGGGAAAGCAATTAGTTGCCCTTTTCTGTTTTGAAAAATTTAGATCATTTCCATAAATACATTATGGATTACAGAACATTTAAGATTTTGTGGAGGAATGATCAGACTCACAGAGAACGGGACTGAACTGTAGTTTTTGTTGTAGCTTGAAACGTGTGTTAAATTTTTACATTTCTTACTTTATCTAACTAAACTAGGAGAAATATTTTAGGCTTCTTGTTTTCTTTGAATTTTACCATAAGGTGATTTTACATCAGAGGGCACAATTTTTTTTTATTCCTTGGATCTTTGTCAACTCCCTATATCTGCACTTAATGTGTAATACAATATGTCTTTTTATAAGGTGTGCAAGCAGATAATATCATTATTTCTAGGTAATCTATATCTCTCTGAAATATTCTTGAACATTGGGTAGGATTCTTACTTCCTTTTCAGCATGCATTATATTTTGTTGTGATTTTTTTGCTTAATGGAACCACTGTATTCTGGTTTTCAAATCTTTAGTTTTCTTAGCCAAAACTATTGAAAACTGATTATATGTGGATGCATATGAATGTAAATGTGGTACCTTGTAATAAATGTTAGTTAATTATTATTGAATTTACCAGGCATACTGTTGAAGATCAAGTATATATAAAGTAATTTTTCATAGTGTATAGTTATCCATATGTAAAAATGTGAATTAATTTAAAAAAACCCTTGATATGGTGAAAAAAAATGTGTTGCTAGCATGTTTTTAAGTCATATTTTGCATACAAGCATAATGTTAAAAATGGTAAAGCTGCCTTGCCATCTAGTGGTGGTTTTTAGATAGCTCCATTTGTTCAGGGTATATTTTACTGGGGTG